TGACAGTGAGGCCCTAAAAAATTAATTAATTTAATTTAAGTTTTAAATGTTAAATTTTAAGAATTTTGCAAGTTTGGCTTTTAATTTTATAATTTTTTATAATAAATTTATAACTTAATTTTTAAATTTTAACATGATTAAAAATAAATAAAATTATTTTTTCTATTAAAATTTAAAATAAAAGTTATAAATTCATTATAAAAAATTAAAAAAATTAAAAACTAAACTTGTAAATTATTAGAATTTAACATTTGAGATTGAAATTGAATTAATTAATCTTTTTAAACCTCTCTATCATTCTTCCTAATATTTTTTTTCCAAGCGGCTTTGTCTCTAAAAGGAAAAGAAAAAGAATAGTCCATCAATTTATTTATGCTATTGTGCCTTGTAACATTATTAAGAGTAAGATACACTGACCTTTTTATTATACCTTGATTGCATAGACCCCTTTTCTATTTTAAAAGCCCATATAAACCTCTCTTAAAATTACAATATATGTTACATGAACTTTTTCTTGTATATTTAAAATTTCATTTACATCCATCTGCCGTTAATTGACTATTAAATGTGACTTTTAAATTTTTAATTTCACTAAAATACCTTTCTTTAACGTAAAAATTATCTAAAAATCTATATTTGCCAAAAAAAATTGCATACAACTAAAAAATATGATAAATACATTTTCAAACTTTTATTACATTATAAAATTTTATAATTTTAATTTATCAAATTTATTGAAACTTATTTATTTATGCTTTTAAAAATTCCTAAAAACATATTTCAAACGCTTATTGTTGTTCGTCACATAATATAAAATGATATAAGTGTGAGAGATTATATAAAAAATTTAAATTTAAACTCTAAAATTTATGAACATGATTTTAAACAAAAATTTACAAATACATTTAATTTTAGATGCTTTTATAGATATAGCTCATGTTACAGAACCAAATCAAACAAATAATTCAATATTTATTATATTTTATATTATAGCTAGTTTATTATATTTGTTAATGATATATCATTATCTATAAATTTCTTATAAATTTTTAATACTAAAGCCCTTATATATCAATAATATACTCTGTATATATTAATGTGAATTAGTCATATTCCTAAATTAAAAAATTTAATCCATATTTTGAGGACCCAAAATTTGTATCGGCCAATGGGCCAATTTATCCTTAGTTTTATTGAAAAAGATTGATCAAATTTTCAGTCAAGTTTTTAGTGTCTACTTTAATTTAAAATTACTTAAGATTTTGTCCCAATTTTCTATAAACCTTAAGAAATAAAAATATATTTCTAAACCAAAAAAAAAAAGAAAGAGGAAACTCTTAATTTTTTTAAAAAATTCTAGCCAAAATGTGGAATACAAAATAAGCACACAATTATATATGAGTGGCTTTGTAATATCCAATAAATAAATTTGATTTTTTTTAACCAAGATTTGAATTTTTTTACTAAACTTTTAAACATGTGTTGTTTAATTTTTAAAAGATTATGATAATTTTACTTTTTTTATTTTACAACATTTTAATTAATTTATAGTGCTTAATTTTATTTTAATTATTTTAATTTTTTTAGAATAGGGTTTATGGGCACAACTCTGAGCCCTTTAAATAAGGGCCGAGCCTCAAAAAAAGAGTAAAAAGTGAAAAATTAAGTTTAAAAGCTCATGCTCTTAAAGGTCGGGCCCATAAGGATTAGGGTTATAAAAGTTGGGTCTTTTCATTTTTTCAATTCTAGAAAGAAGAAGAAGAAGAAGACAATGAAAAAGGGAAAGAGAAGTGAAAGTAAAAAAGGATTATGCCCCCATGATGCCCCTACCACTAATAAATTATACATTTATTCAATTTACATCAAATGATGTATTATTGACATCAATTGTCTCTGCCACCATGCACCTTGAAATAATATATATATATATATATATTTGAAAAAATTATATTTATTCATGAATTTCAGAAAATACTACCAAAATCTAAATCATGCCCATTGACAATTTAGTTATGGGCATTGACAACTGAACAATAATTATTTACAACTTATATCAAGTTGTCAATATATAGGATTTGAGATTTGAAAGTATTTTGTAAAATTTATGAGACTTCTTGATAATAAATTTTTTTCTATGAGACCTAAATGTAATTTTTCTTTTTTTTAGCAATACCTTGAAATATATTTATATTAGCACATGTGAAGTGTAATCTGTAGTTCTGTTATATGCATTAGTCCTTCTCTAATTTTATTCAAGATTACAAATTTAAAATACTTGCTCACATCCATTTGCTCTCTTTCCTATATCTCGTTACTCTCTTACTGCACCACATTTTTGTCCCTGTATCATATGAACTTCAAAGTTGTGACACTATAAAGGCCTGTTTAGTTTCTATTCCTATTTGTTATTTTTAAAAATTATTTTGTAATATAGTTTTTATAATTATTTTTTAAAATAAAACAAAATAAAAATATATTTGATTATGTTAATTTAAAAAAATTAGAAATAAAAAATAGGTTGATAGTGATGGTTGCAGGTGATTAGTAGTGATGGTTTTATGATAAAAATTAATCAAGCTAACTGTATTTACTAACAATCAAATGTAGTGTATTTTAAAAATAAAAAAAATAAAATAAAATAACTTTAAGATATTTTTATTTTTTATTTTTAAAAACATAAAACAGTTTTTGGTTAAACAAAACCAAATAGTCTCTAAGATAATAAGAAACATGCTTTTGCTTTCTTCCCCCCTGGTTCTTTTATTTTCATCAAAACGCATCGTTTTCAAATCACCAAGAAAAAAGAAGGAAGTGTTCCATTACCGGACGTAAAAGTCAACTATAGCTATCAATTTTACTTATCAAATAAACTACAGCCGACAGCAGCTATTAATTTCACTTGCCTATCAAATTGGTGACTTCTAATATAAATACAAAGACATTGGATCAGTGAATCCTAATACAGATCCAAAGATAGATTTTTTTTGCCCTTTTCCTCGATCTGACATCATTGTACCAACATCGTGAAATTTGTAAAAGTGTGGACATTTAGGAACATGATGACACAATAGGGTTGAAGTTGCCATTTTCTAACCACCGCAAACGTATACTTATCCACATTCTTTATATTTAGCTTTCTCTTTGCCGTCAATCATGACTAGTTTAGTGAAAGATTTCCAAATCTCAAGTGTAGGCTCTACGCTTTTTACTTTGAAGTTCTTGTCCTTTTTTCAACCTATCTTTATTGAATGGAGAAGAAATTCTTGATCGATCCCAAGTGCAGATTCCGAGATAATGATTTCTTAAAAAAAAAAAAACAGAGAGAGAGTCATGGAAACCAAATTAATCAAAGCAAATTAAGTATAATGATATAAAAATCTCTTTGCATTAGAGGACTATAATAAAATATTGTTTTCTAGTTACAAAAATGAAACATTGCTTTCATAAGAAAGAAATGGACTTGGCTTCCCTTCTTCTCTCCTCTGAGCACAGCCTCTGCCATATCTTCTCTAATTGAGGTGAAATATGAATTATTTAGATTTAATCTGAATAATTCAGGTTCAATATTTTTATTTTATATTTATTAAAATAAAAATTATAAAAATTTTAATAAATTTATTATCAATTTGGACAGTCTATATTTAATATATATGATCCAAATTTACTATAAAAATAATATTAAATATGCATGGTTCAAAATATCTTGAAATAGTTAATTTATAAAAATTATAAAATTTTAATATTAAATTTGGACCATATATATTAAATCAGATCATCTAGGCTAGTGAATAAATTTATTAATTTTTTATAATTTACACAATTTTTATTTTAATAAATATAAAAACATTGAATCTGGAGATCCAAATTTCTCCTACTGCAGAGGAGTCAGAATGGACACTTCCCTTGTAGTAAAGAAGCCGAGTTCGAAAGTAGTACTATAGCAATCTTAGTATGGGAGTTGACTTTCCTCCTTTATAAACGAGAGAACCACCGCTAATCTAGAATATTAAATTGAATTTAGTGATTTAAATTTGATAATTTTTAAAAATATAAATTTAATTTAAATAGTTCACATTTACAGTTGAGAGATATTGAAAGGAAAAGATAATGATATGAGAAACTTACTTTTTATTTAGACTTTACTAATACAAGAGCTTTAGCTATTAATGATCCTTGTTGACATGCTTTTCTTTCTGTACAACTAAAAAATTTGAGTACAATGCATAGGTATATAATAATTTAACTTTTTTAAAAAAACCTCACTTGTTTATCATTTAAATATTGGTGAAATATATTATAAAAATTAAAAGAATAGATTAATAGAACAAACTACGCAGTTTTTTTTTTTTTTTTGAATTACAAGGACACAGTTAAACTAAATACAGAATTAAATAACTAGGTCCAATCAGATAACAAAAGATTCCTGCATAAATAGATGGGTCATTAAACATCCTAATGTCTCGACTGTTGTGATCAGCATGATAGGCAAGTTAATTAACGAAACCATAAGCCTATTTGAAAACATGATCTAAGGATACAATCTAATCACGCATAATAAGATCTCTGGTCCTTTTGATAATATTGAAGAGTAGACGGTTTTGAGACTACTGATTTTGGACTAGATTGATAACCTTCATTGAGCCGCAAAAAACCTGAACTTCTGCAAAATTTTCATCCGAGCATAAATTGAGCCCTCCAAGAATTTCAAGGAGTTTCGCTGCCGTGCCAGACAAACAACATAGTTTATCTCACAAGTTCCCTGACTACAGTGTTTGAGAGAAAAGAGTCGATGACCGTGCCCTATTGTGTGTGATAATATTAATAGCTCGTTTTTCCATTCGCAATCATCCCAGAGGCAATAGTCAATCATATAACCTATTCCTTTGACTTGTTTAACAATTATGGGTCCGAATAGTAAAGAGTCAAAAGTCAATTATATAGAATTCTATCATGAAAAAACGAATTAGAGAGGTGACAGTTGGTAGAAATTCAAACACAAACCCGTGAACCCTGTCCCTAACAAAGAAAAGAGATCATCTTCATGACTCTTTGAAGTCCAACTCAAGGCCAAGAGGATTATTATTAAAGCAAACATGGAAGAACCAAATTCAATCATTTCCTCCAACACATGAGCACATGGCTGAGTCTATTCTGGAAGTTGTGCTTGGGACTTTGAACAAGTTCATTCAAGATGAGCTTGGCTTGTTTCTGGGTGTCAATCAAGAGATGAACAGACTCAGTAGCACACTTTCAACAATCTGGGCTGTGCTTGAAGATGCCGAGGAAAAGCAACTTACTGACAAGGCTATAAGAAATTGGCTGCAAAAGCTAAAAGATGCAGCTTACATTCTGGATGACATATTGGATGAGTGTGCAACAGAAGGACTTCGATTTCAGTATAGAAGAAAAAACTGTAGATCAACAAACAAGGTAAGACATTCTTCCTTATCCTCATTTCATCCAATGATTGTACTTTTCCGCTACAAAATTGCTAGGAAAATGAAAAAGACAAGGGTGTTGTTAGATGCAATTGCTGATGAAAAGCGCAAGTTTCATTTGTGTGAGGCAGTTACCCAGAGGAAAACTGAAGTGATGGAATGGCGTCAAACTGGTTCCATTATTACTCAACCTCAGGTATATGGAAGAGAAGAAGATAAGAAAAGAATTGTGGATTTTTTGGTCGGTCAGGCTTCTGGTTTTGATGATGTATCAGTGTATCCTATAGTTGGTATTGGTGGACTAGGAAAGACAACTCTGGCACAACTTGTCTTCAACGATGAAGAAATAACAAAACATTTTCAGTTGAAGATTTGGGTATGTGTTTCACAGAATTTCGATGTTAAGAGAATGTTAAAAGCTATCATGGAATCAGCCACTGGTCATAGCTGTGAATCTTTGGATTTAGATCCCCTGCAGAGAAAACTTCAAGAGACGCTTCAAGGAAAAAAATACTTGATTGTTTTGGATGATGTGTGGAATGACGACCAAGAGAAATGGGATAGGTTGAAATATGTCTTGTCATGTGGATCAAGAGGTTCCTCCATTCTTGTCACTACTCGGATAGCAAAGGTAGCATCCATCGTGGGAACGCAACCTTCTCATCAGCTATATGGTTTATCCATTGATGAATGCTGGAAATTGTTCAGGCAACGTGCCTTTGGACCAGACAGGGAAGCGCATGCACAGCTTGCGGACATAGGAAAGGAGATAGTGAAAAAGTGTGGTGGTGTGCCTCTTGCTGCGAAAGCATTGGGAGGCCTTTTATGTTTCACCAGGGAAGAGAGTGAGTGGCTCTACGTCAAGGATAGCAAACTTTGGGGTCTACCACAAGATGAAAACTCCATCTTAGCTACCTTGAGATTAAGCTATTGGAACTTGCCATTCAAAGCAAGACCTTGCTTTGCCTATTGTGCCATTTTCCCCAAAGGTAAAGAAATTAATAAGCGTTTGCTGATTCAACTTTGGCTGGCTAATGGGTTCATAACACCCTGTGGAAAAATGGATGTAGAAGACGTGGGCAATGAGGTGTGGAAAGAATTGTATTGGAGATCATTTTTCCAAGATATTCAGACAGATGAATTTGGCATGACAACAAGTTTCAAGATGCATGATCTAGTTCATGATCTTGCCCAATCAATCATGAGAGAAGAATGTCACATTCTGGACAACATAAGCTCAAATGATTTGCATGGAAACACTCGCCATCTTTCTGCTCCAATCTATAGACTTAAAAGATCTCATTTTGGTTTGTCAGACATACCCAAATCCTTACGAAGCAGCCTACATGTATCAAATGCAGTTTCATCTGTCTCCCTACTGATGAAAACTACCTCTTTGAGAGCAATTCATGAGAGTGGCAGTGAGACGGTAACAGAATTGCCATCTTCAATAGGGAATTTGAAGCATCTAAGGTATTTGAACTTGAGTGGCACTCAGATAAAAAAACTCCCCAAGTCCATTTGCGGCTTATGGAATTTGCAAATTTTGATTTTGAGTGATTGTTGGAATCTAAAGAAGTTGCCAAAACAAATGAATTCACTTAAAGGTCTACGAGAGTTGATGTTGGATGGGTGTAGTTCATTGACTTGTATGCCCCCTGGCATTGGTCAGTTAACTTCTCTAAGGATCTTAACTCGCTACATCGTTGGCAGAGGCCAAGGCTTCCATATCAATGAACTGGTTTGCTTGAACCTCAAAAATAATCTAACTATAGAACACTTGGAGAGAGTAAAAAGAGCGATAGATGCCAAAGAAGCAAATTTGGCAAGCAAGCAGCTGAAGGAGTTATCATTGTCATGGGGTGCCAACCTTGAATCAAACATGCAAGAAAATATTGAGCAGATGCTTGAAGCCCTTGAACCTCATGCAAAACTCTCTAGTTTGCATGTAGAGGGATATAAAGGTGCCCATCTTGCACAATGGATGGGTAACCCTAGTTTTAAACACTTGTTTTCGATGACCCTTGTAAATTGCAATAACTGTTCAGAACTTCCACTATTGGGGAAACTTCCGTCTCTGAAGTACCTCAGATTATCTGGTATGTGTCGTGTGAAGCACATCCGCGATGAAACCAGTAACAGTGGAAAGGGTTTCTCATCACTTGAAAGTCTTGAGCTTTCTGATCTAGTAAACTTGGAATATCTGTGTAAAGACGACGTAGGAGAGATGTTTCCATGCCTTTCGAGCATGTTTATTTCTAGGTGTCCCAGGTTGGCCTTGCCCATTCTTCCATCTGTCAAAGACCTAGTTCTAATCGATTGCGAGGAAGTGTCTTTGAGCTCAATCTACAACCTCCACAATCTTAGATTTCTTCAAGTTTCCGCTTTCCAAGAACTGACCACTATCCCAAAATCGATGTTGAGAGGCCTCAGTGATTTAGAGCAGTTTCACATCACTTACTTCTCTAAGCTTGAATCATTTCCAGAGCAAATGTTAGAAGGTCTACGCCCTCTCAAAGCAATCAAGATTGATTCCTGCGAGAAACTGAAATCTTTGTGGGAAGGTTTTGAAGACCTTACTTCGCTAGAAACTTTAGAAATCAAAGGATGTCCGGAACTAGTAGCATTGCCAAATGGTATCATTCACCTTACATCCTTACAACGTTTGGTCATAACTTCCTATGGCATCATAAATGGAGACAGGAAAACTTTTATTCCTACTAAACTGGCAGTATTACCAGAGTCCTTAGGACATATTTCTTCACTGCAATATCTCAAGATAAGTGTATTCCCAAATTTGGCATCTTTACCTGAATTGGGAAACCTTACATCTCTTCAGACCTTAGAGGTTGGCCACTGCCCAAAGTTGCTATCTCTTCCCACAACTATTCGATGCCTTACCAAATTGCAGGAGTTCAAGTTAAAGAGCCTACAAAATCTTTCATCACTGCCTGACGAGTTGGCGGGCCTTACTTCTCTTGAAATGTTACTTGTCGAAGATTGTCCAAAGTTGACTTCCCTTCCCATGTGTATTCAAAGCCTCACCAATTTGAAGACTTTGGCCATTGGGGATTGCCCGATGTTGCAAAGAAGATCTAATAAAGAAACAGGCGAAGATTGGTACAAGATAGCACATATCCCTTGCGTTAAATTTTATCTCAAAGCTAGGCCCCAACACCATCACGAACAGAATGCTGGAAGAATTTTGTAAGATCCAATTCAATTTTGGAATCTCGTTTCGTCATAGAATATGTATTATTTCGTTATGTCATAATGGTTTTCTGATCTTTTTGGTGAACAAAAACCTGCCCACAGCCTCATCAAGACAAACATTGGATAATCAGTTTGTGAGTCTTTAACTTCATCGTCAAGCCATGCATTATTCAATATGCACATAATATGGCCAATATGGATCATAAACTAACACAAATGGGATTTGGTTTCTTTATGTTTGCATCTCATTTTCTTCTACAACAACCAGTAGTTACGGACAAGGGGAAAAAGTTAAAAACCTTATAGAAGGGGTTTATTAGTTGGAGTAATGAGTAATCTCAATTAATTAGGCATGTTTGTGAATTGGCGATTGCAAATGGTAATACAATACAAAGACCAGTTATTCCTTTTCTTCCATGACCCAATCAATCAAATGATCCGAGTTCTGATTGTTGCTATTATCTGCCTTGCTTTGGTTGTACTTGATTCCAATACTCAGCTAATGTCATATTGGTTATGTCATTAACAGAACTCCCCTTAATGACTTGGCTTAAATTGATGCTATTCAATCATATCATTCTTTTGCAATTTGATCTTTCTTCTAAGCTCAAAATTTTAGTTTATAAATGCCTTAATTGAGTTCTCATGGCTTGTTAGCACCTCATAATATGTTACTATTGAGTACTTTCTCAAATATTAATTGACCATATTGGGAGTCTTGTAGGAGCCAATTGGAGATATTATGGTCGGTTCTTTATGTCTTTTATAAAATCGTTTGATGCTTCTCAAAGGTGATGTAGTGATTTCCAAATGTTTCAGATCATAATGGTATTCTCCAACAACGGAAGAAATGAAGAACTTGATCCAGTCAAGATTGAAATTTCAGAAGAGCCAGAGATTTCCTCATAGCAGGATATGATGGTAAATATTTGAGGAAGATTACATTAACTGAACTGGGTATATGCGCGGTAGTGCACTATTTGTTGGCAAAATCTTTGGATTGTGTAACGACTGCATTTGGAGAACACAGTGTTCATCGCGTATGGTTACGTTTGGTAAGTGTTTTATGTCCAAGGAGTTTTTATGTAATATGACAACCAAGTTTGAGTGCTTATAATGTGATCCATTATATGCAACCACGTTAGTGTACTAAAAATTCATATATCAATTTCAATAGTGATCTTGACCTTAATTAGATACCTGATAATAGATTTGAGCATGGCATCAAGGGAAAGTAAAATCTTGATGATACATGACAAAGATGTATCGTAAGCTTGGTGATATATGACAAATACATGAAGTTGGATACTATTAAACGCACAAGATAAAAGAAACCACTGAGATTAACTTTTTTAATCTACTGCGTACTATACCTGATTAAAATGTCTAGTCAGAATTCTTAAAAATTATACCTTTTGCATATCTGAGCTTGAACTCAACACCTTTATTTAAAAAAGACCAACCTCACAGTTAGTTAATCCAAGCGCCCGGTGGTTGAAACACCACTTTTTAACTACCATACAATCTGATTTTAATTTACTCGATGTGTTTCACCGCATATCAAAAGTACAGGACTTGGAACTGGTCAAACCCGAGGTGTGAGCATACTTGTGCCATGTCTTAAATTCCCCTTCTTGGACTGGAGGTTGTAGATTTTGATTTGAAAGCTCTTACAAGAAGTGAAACACTTGAAAGCATTCATAATATAAACCCAATTGCGCAGATTTCAACCTAGTCCGTGTTTCTTAAATGTGACATTCCAATTATGGTATTAAAATAATACTATTCAAAGTTGTTAATCTTAAAACGTCTATGCTTAAAACAAATGTAAATTTTGGACCAAGCTCTCTAACTGCTGTCATGAAAGAACTAGAAGGGGCATGGCATTTGACAGCATTTCAAAAGAATGGTGATGGGAGTGTCTGTCTTGAACTGGGATATAGCATAATAGGGATTTTTTTTTTTTTTTGCCCCCTCTTTCGAAAGTTGTGGGTGTATTTGCAGATGACTTAAGGTTAGCATATTCGCATAGTTCGACTTCAGGTTGACAGAAAAAATAATAGATTTTAGTTGGAAATCCGATCAATTTCCTGTAGTTGTCTTGAGATTATACTAGGATACAGAATGTTATGAAGGGGAAAGATCTTTTCAGAAGCATCTGGCTTTATAATAAATGATAAAATGGACTCTCTTTTCTTTTTCGGAGGAAGGGTACATGTATTAAATTAAAAGAAGAATATATGGTATCTGTACGAGGTGATAGAAAATATTTTTTATATTTTGTTGCTTATCATATCATCGTAGGAAAGAAAGGGATTTTTCATGTTCAGTTTTTAGCCATATGAAAGAATTGCTGCTCGTAAACTGTAGCTAGAATTTTGCAATTTTCCATAAAGAATGCATAAATAAAAGGCCACGAAAAGAACAAAATAGATAGAGATGCAGATGGTACATCAGGTAAGCCTGATATAATCCAACAAATTTGCGAAATATAATACACCAGATTTGTGTACCATAGTGCTTCGTGAAACTCCAAGGAAAGCATAATACATACAGACTGTAAATCAAGTGGAACGTTGCTTACCCCTGTCATGTGTGAATTGTTCGAATACAACCAAGAACGATGCCCAGTGCCCAACATAGGGACCACGGAGAGCCTTTTGGTGGCATGGCCCCATCATCCACGTTCCGAGTTTCGCAGGTTATTTAGCGACAGGAGGCTCTTGTTGCACGAGTAATTAAAAGGCAAGAGAAACACGTAACGTATCTGGAGTGTCCATGATCGACCAATAAAAATGAACCGACCTCATTCCCTCTCGTAAATCCCATGAACAAAACCGTGCTCGTTTTCGTGATAAATGGTCACTATCATTTATTCTGCCTCTTCTCTTTCGTACCATTCACACGGAGTCAGCTTCTCTCTCCTTTGAGAAAAGCCTGGAAATCTGAAATCTTTAAATTTAATCTGAACGGTCTAAATTTAATAATTTTATTTTTATTTTTTATTTATATTTTTAAATTAAAAAATATATAAAAATTATAAAAAAGTTTTAATAAATATACTAATTAATTTGACAGTTCATATTTATTATAGATGTTTTAAATTTAATATTAAAAATTTAAATTTATTTTTTAAATATATTCTGAACAGAACAATAAATTTAGTAAAAAAATTTAATATTAATTTTAGATCATCTATATTAAATCTGAACTGTCAGATTGATAAATATATTTATTAAAAAAATTTATAATTTTATATATTTTTTATTTTAAAAATATAAATAAGAAATAAAAAAAATTAAATCTAACACTAAGCTGCCTCAAAGGAGAGGCAGAGGAGGGAGAGAAGCCGAGTCCCCATTCACACGAAGTCTAACCAAACTCATTTATGGTATCAAGAAAACAGAAACCACCAAGGTGCTGCAATCACAATCACATTTCCTTGCTCACCAAGGTTCCGTCCTTCCTCTTCTTCCTATAAAATCTGGAAGCCGGATAGAGATTTCAAAGTATACGTTAAGTTTATACTTGAAAGTCATAAGACCATGTCAGCTGAGATTTTCGTTGTGCCCTTCTTCGGGCAAGGTCATCTTTTTCCTTGCATGGAGCTATGCAAACACTTGGCTTCTAGAAATTTCATGGCTTCACTCGTCATTCCGTCCGACCTCACCTCCTCCATACCAGCCTCTTTCCGCGACTACCCTTTAGTTCAAATCCACGAAGTCTCATCGTCCCTCTTGCCTCCGTCCGAACCAGGATCACAATCACACCCACTTCACGCACACCGTACGCTCCACGCCCAGCTAGCTCTTGGGATTGAGAAGCTCCTCTCAGTGGGACCCCATAACCCCAATCCACCTCGACCCGTTTGTGCTATCCTTGACATCATGGTGAACTGGTTGTCGGATTCTTTTAAAAAACTTCAGGTGCCTACGGTAGCGTTCTTTACCTCCGGTGCTTGCTCCGCCGCATTAGAATATGCCATTTGGAAAGCCCACCCGGAAGATCTCAAACCTGACGAAATTCGTTTGCTTCCCGGATTACCAGATGATGTTGCGCTGGCCTCCTCTGATCTCAAACGACGGCCTCACGGCCCTCCACCACTAGACGGTGGCGGACCACCACCAGACGTCAGAGCAGGACCGCGGATGAAGGGACCACCTAAACCCGGTGAGCAACCACCGTGGCTAGAAGATGCAAGAAAAACGAACGCGATGATGATCAACACGTGTGATGATCTGGAGCGTCCATTCATTGAATACATTGCGAAACAAACTGGAAAGCCGGTTTGGGGTGTAGGTCCGCTTCTGCCCGAGCATTATTGGAAATCCGCAGGTTCACTCATTCACGACCGGCTGGTCCGAACGAACCGCAGGTCCAATGTGTCGGAGGACGAAGTGATCCAGTGGCTAGATTCAAAACCGCGGGGGTCAGTTCTGTATGTATCCTTTGGAAGTGAAGTGGGCCCAACAATGGAAGAATACCCACAATTAGCGGAAGCATTGGAGTCTTCAGACCGACCCTTCATATGGGTGATCCAACCCAATTCAGGAAAACCGGGCCCTCCACGTCCACGCTCATGGTCAAGTAAACAACCCGGTTCACAGGTGAAGAAAGAGGAAGAAGAAAAAGAAGGCTATTTTCCTCATGGGGTGGATAGCAGAGTCGGGAAAAGGGGTCTGATAATATGTGGATGGGCACCACAGTTGTTGATACTGAGTCACCCATCAACGGGTGGATTCTTAACACACTGTGGTTGGAACTCCACGGTGGAAGCCATTGGACGTGGGGTCCCATTTTTGGTGTGGCCCATTAGGGGTGACCAATACCATGATGCCAAGTTGGTGGTGGGCCACCTGAAGGTTGGGCACATGATCTCTGATGATCTTTCACAAATGGTAAAAAAGGATGGCATAGTGGAGGGAATAGAGAGGTTGATGACTGATAAAGAAATCAAGAGTAGGGCTGAGAGTCTCAGTGCTATGTTTCAGAACGGGTTTCCAAGGAGTTCAGAGGCTGCTTTAGATACTTTCTTTCATTATATCAATCAAAGGCCGAGTTAGTTAGTATCATTCCCTCCATCAATGTATACTATACTAGAGGAAATCTTGGTACCAGTTACATGAATAAATTCATTTCTTTATCCTAGATGATGATTTAATTAATGAACTTTAACCTGAATTCTCAACCTGTTCTGCCTAAATTAATTACAAAAAAAAAAAAAACAACTAAGAAGCTTACAACTTACATGAACTACGAAAGGGGGAAGAATTTCTCTTTCTATTCCATGGGAAAACCCAATTAGAGAACACTGGAACTACATCCCAGTTAAAAAAAATTGTTATGTGCACTTAACAAACTACAAAGAAATTATTTCCTATAAAGAGCAATAAAATTATGGTCATTCGTGATCACAATCTAGTTTGGGGACCATGGCAGACGAGAGCATCAAATGTGAAATACGAACAGCACCGATGAGCCGCTCTGGCAATTCATCTATAGTATTTGCCTGCCAATACGAACAAATATGTCACCATTTCACAGCACAGGTCACTAAAGGATATAAATGAACTGTCAAAAAACTAAGATGTGGAAATTGTCAAGCCCTCGGCTGGTATAGGTATACCATGGGCAATCTTCACTTCAACACTCATGATCCCACCCATCCTTCTAAGACAAATCCACCCTTTTTTTTGTTTGGGGGGGGGGGGATGTTATAACATTTAAACCCATTGAGTTGGATCTAAAACCCAAAGCCACAGATTCAGTCAGACCCAAAATTAAGCAAACTGCAACTAAGGATGCCAAAAGACAAGCTATCAATTCTTTTCCCAATCCCATTTCCCTCTTCAAACCAGGCCTCACATCAATACATGCATTTCTCCCCTATAGGCACCATATTGATGGGAAGCCTATCTAATTAGAACTCATAATCGATTTGGAGTTTTTCTTTATCTACAGTTTAATTTTATCATAATCTAGAGTCTTAGGGCTGATTGTTCCTTAAAAGTCTTAAACCATCCTAGATCATTCACCACATCTCTATTAAACTTTACACGGTATCAAAGAAAAGTGCAGGATTCAATATCTTGTAGTTTTCAGGGCTCGAGCTGTTACTGAACTATCAGAAGCCCCCCCTTTTTTTAAACAAAGTAAAATCATACATATTTATCATGGATTAGCAGTCAAACGATATATGGCGAATCCTACACTAGATCCACAAAAGTCTATTCAACTACAATTGGGTATTTGGCAAAAAGAAGAAAAGCATCAAAGTGAAGTCAAGGATAAATGTTACAAGAGACCAATTGAGGCCCAGTCGCACCTATTTAATCACCATTACTTGTTTAGATATGCAGAACTAGTATATAATTTCACCATCCCAAAAGAGTTTACCTGTACAAGAAATGCCATATCGACCACCAATGTTGTAATTACACCGACTACAAGCCCCAAAACTCCATTAGCAACAGTAGAAGATCCAATATCAACGTCAATCTACAAATAAAAAGCCATTGATTAACCAATGATTAAACAAGAAACGCTGTTCATTTTTAAGGAAACTTCCCACAATGTGAAAATATATGCGAGAGAGTGTGAGTGTGAGTGCGAAGAGATTTGAAAGACACTTTACTTCTAAATACTTGGAGCCACGAATATAATTGATATCAACTGCCTTTCCAAGTAAACAAGGTGTACTCCCGACACTTTGTCGCACAATCCATGAGCCCTACATTTTGTTAAAAGACAGAGGTTGACAGAATATGAGCATTAGTCCATAAAAGATTAAATGCAACAGGACAAAGGGGAATCAAAACCTAGTTATATAGTGTTAAGATATTCATATATGTAAATATCATGCAATTAGTAATTAGCGTAGTTGGGGGTTAGAAATTCAGAATTTATTATTGTTCCCTCTCTTATAGAGTGTATATATCCCTGTAAACAGAATGAATAGAGTGAATTATGATTATTCAGTAATCCTAAATCTACATATAGCAAAACTAATGAATTTCTTTTCATAATAAACTAATTCATTGCTAACTACTGGGAATGGCATTTATATACTCCATTGGTTACTTAGAATTCAGCTCTAGAGTCTACGCAAAATCAATTCTGTTACATAAATCAGGCATGCTAGATATAGCTCTCTAGAATCAATTTGAATGTTGCTATAATGAGATGGCTAAACTCCATAGGAAATCTGATGGACACTTGGTAGTATGAGATACCAAGTCTTACACTGAATAATATGAATGCTCAATAGAGTATTTAAGTGGGTTGGTTCTTCCCCTACCTCAAGAGCTAGCTTTTGGAGTAGAGCTACCTGTCCCACTAAGATACCCATTAGTTGGCATCAAACCCAGGTTGTTGTTTTTCCCACCTCAATAACTAGCTTTTGAAATAGGCTTCCTCATCTCACTTAGCTACCTACTAGAATCACTCAACCACCCGTCCACCACCCTAAAATACAGAAAAAGAACTCCATATAAAACAGTACAATTAATTGTCCCCGTAATATATTATACATAGATTGCTTTAATACTTTAATGACTTAAAAAAGCATTAAAAAAATTGTCTCCATGCTCACACATTATGGGGAAATGTTAAATCATCAATCATCACTCATTGTGTAATTTTTGTAGGAAGCCAAAGGCTTATGAATAGTGATAGGATTCAGGGATGGCGTTGGGTTGTATACTGTAGGGGCAGTTAACACCCAAAAAAAGAAAAGAAAAGAAAAGAAAACTCTGTATTTAGTTAATATTACATGATATGTTGGAGAAAATTACAAAGCCTGCCCCTCAAATTTTCATTTTGAACCCCCTTTCCATTAATTTTGGCTCTTCTCTAATAGGATTTGATGGATATTGAGCTGCATGCTTTAGTGGTGTTAGTTTTTTTAAAATGCCTTTTTTATAAATAATTGTAATCTGTCATGTAATGGGTCCCACGCTTGCAGATTATTTGGTTATTTTTTGCAGGTCCTGCAGTTTTAGGATACACCGTGCAATGCACAGGTCAATTGTCAACATACTTGTTTCTAAGAATAGCATAAAAAAAAACACTAATAGAAAAAATGCAGAAGACAAAAAGACATACTTTTAAAAAGTAAGGTCAAGGGAATCTGATGGGTCCCAACCAATTGCTACTACCAACATGTGCAACAGGAGAGATAAGCGAGCATCAAAAGGCCAAACAGGCAGGGTTGATCGTCCAACAAAGGAACCAAAAGTTTAATAAGTACAAAAGGATAGAAAAATGAAGGAGCAAAGGAAGGGAGTAATTAGGGGCAGGAAGGAGCAGTTAAAGGTTGTTGAGTAGTACATATGAAGATAAAAGTTGAGAAGCAACGGGACGTGAAATTTTTCAGTCAGGTCTTGGCAGAGAGCAAATCCCTCAAAAGTTGCCAAACCTGCTATGTTCTTGAGGATCTAGTTCTCTACTGTTGTGCTCGTGGTGTGTGTGTTTTTTGGTCAACATTCAAGTCATTTTGTTCATCTTATTTGCAGTGTTCTGAAGTGGTAATCTATTTCTTCACAATTTCTGTGTCATTTGTAGCATGTATAACTCAGTATTATGTAGCAAAGGTATGGTGGGCCTGTGCTTTATGGATACTTCAAGCCCAACAGGCTTTTGAGGAGTATGTTAAAAATTATAGTAAAAACTACTCATAGGTATTTACTTAATAGCTTAAAATTTTGACACACACACGATAATAACTCAAAGCACGGACACAATTTTAAAAGCACCAGGAGTTAGATCACCAACACCAGCATGACACAGCTGAAATATGTCCAATATGCCAATGATAAAAGTCAACAAGTACCTTTGGGACCGATGGGATGAGCTTGAATCTGCTATTTCGGAATTCATCATCACCATCAACAAAACGTTGCAAGAGGGATCCAGGAACTAACTCTTTGTCACAAAATAGAATACCATGCTATAGTGTGTTGACCCAGGCACCTGCAAATCAAACAGTATGCATTCAGACACTTTCAAAACTAAATGCTTTGTTTAAAGTTGACTCTCACCTGAAGATTGATGACTATAGAGAAAAGTCCTTTTTCTGATGCAACCTACATAAACACCAAAATAACAGAATCCTATAAAGTAATGAAAATCAATAACTAATTATTATAATGTAACACGTTTATAAAATGCAAATATACCTTCTCTTCTAGAAGAAATGAAAGAGTACAATATGTTGCTATTTTTATGCAGAAAAGTGTAAAATGATTGTTCTACAGATATTCTTTAACAAGAATCATAATACAGATTTCAAGAAATAGGTAGAGCTCAGGTACACAACATACAAATCAAAAAATTCTAATTTACTTTAATAAATAATGTTCATTATTGGCTTTCGTTTTTATCAGTCCAATTACAGAGATTCGAAATAAAAAAGTAGAACATGGACTGCTAACCTAAGAGGGCTGACATGGATTGTTCTACTTTCTAAAAGCTGGCATTATAACCTTGTCAAGCTTCTGTCTGAATCCAAAAAGGAAAAATGAGGACCTCACGTGTAATTTCTAAATCTCCAAAACTGTGTCCTAATTTGACCTCCTAAAGTTCTCAAATTATTTCCACGTATTTCCCAGATGACAGAAAAAGTTTCCCCAACTTGTTCTCTTCACTTAATCGTTAGAGCTTGCTCTGAGTTGAACACAAGAAATTTTAAAGCACTCACTTATAGGAGAACAATTTCTTGGTTTTACTTCAAAAAAATGTGTTTAAGTTTTCTGATTTCTGATTTGGGAAGCTGTAGTGAAGCAGAAGACTGAGGTTAATTAAGACTAAAATCACTTATTCATGATCTGTTACAACAAAGAAACTTCCTCCCAATTGAGTCCCATACGCAACCTTTATTTAAGAAAATAGATCTAGATTGTTTAGAGGCAACAAATATCACCCATAATTCAACTATTGTCTTTTATTTAACTATCATTAATTTCCGTATGCATAATTATGTAGCCTATTGTTTTGTATTTAGTAGCCTTTAGAGCCACAGAACCAAAGATAAGAATTAGCAACGTCAAATGCATGGCAAAACTTAAACAACATAGGAGGAGATTGCAATACTCTTGACATAAGTTACACATTGTGTGAAAAGAACAGTCGTCAGTCTCCTTTTCTTGCTT